CAGGCCAGCCTGCTAAAAAATATACTGGTGGTGGCGGGCGGGGGCCAGGGCGGGAAGGATGCATCTAGTCTATAGCATTAACCTACAAGCTTTTGCTTATTGCTGAATTGACTGCAGTTTACATCCCGAGCGTGGATCTGTGAGGATGTGTATTGCCCAGCAAGGGAATCGCGGATGTGTGATGTGCAGGTGTGTTGTGTGGAAGCAGGGATGGGACTGTGTGTGGAGGGGTGGCGGGCGGGGGCCAGGGCGGGAAGGATGCATCTAGTCTATAGCATTAACCTACAAGCTTTTGCTTATTGCTGAATTGACTGCAGTTTACATCCCGAGCGTGGATCTGTGAGGATGTGTATTGCCCAGCAAGGGAATCGCGGATGTGTGATGTGCAGGTGTGTTGTGTGGAAGCAGGGATGGGACTGTGTGTGGAGGGGGGTTGTGTCCAGATTGCCTGTCGGGTGTGTTCCTTTCTGCTCTGCGTGTGCTGCCCGGCTTCTGCTGTGGGCATGGATGCCTGGTGTACAGGTGAGTGTATATAGTGTGGGGGGGGTCTACCTCTTTGGACTGTCATAGAATCATAGAATACTAGAACTGGAAGGGACCTCCAGAGGTCATCGAGTCCAGTCCCCTGCCCTCAAGGCAGGACCAAGCTCCGTCTAGATCATCCCTGACAGGTGTCTGTCCAACCTGCTCTTAAATATTTCCAGAGATGGAGATTCCACAACCTCCCTGGGCAATTTATTCCAGTGTTTAACCATCCCTACAGTTATCAACATTTTCCTAATGTCCAACCTAAGCCTCCCTTGCTGCAGTTTAAGCCCATTGCTTCTTGTTCTATCCCCAGAGGCCAGGAAGAACAAGTTTTCTCCCTTCTCCTTGTGACACCCTTTTAAGTACTTGAAAACCGCTCTCATGTCCCCTCTCAATCTTCTCTTTTCTAAACTAAACAAACCCAATTCTTTCAGTCTTCCCTCACGGGTCATGTTCTCTAGACCTTTCATCATTCTTGTCGCTCTTCTCTGGACCCTCTCCAATTTCTCCACATCTTTCTTGAAATGCGGTGCCCGGAACTGGACACAATACTTCAACGGAGGCCTAATCAGCGCAGAGTAGAGCGGAAGAATGACTTCTCGTGTCTTGCTCACAACACAACTGTTAATGCATCCTAGAATTGTGTTTGCTTTTTTTGCAACAACGTCACACTATTGACTCATATTCAGCTTGTGGTCCACTATGACCCTGAGATCCCTTTCTACCGTACTCCTTCCTAGACAGTCACTTCCCATTCTGTATGTGTGAAACCGATTGTTCCTTCCTAAGGGGAGCACTTTGCATTTGTCCTTATTCAACTTCATCCTGTTTGCCTCAGACCATTTCTCCAGTTTGTCCAGATCATTTTGAATTATGACCCTGTCCTCCAGAGCAGTCGCAACCCCATCCCGCTTGGTATCATCTGCAAACTTAATACATGTAGTCTCTATGCCGATATTTAAATCGCTCTCATTTGGTTGGAGGCGGGATCTGTCCTGTGTTTGTACAGCGCCTAGCACAGTGGGGTCCGGTCCTTGCCTGGGGTTTCCAGATGCTACCTGTGTGCTGGGGGGGGGTATAAAAGTGCATGCCTGTGTGTGAGCTGTGGGCTGTGTTGTATAAACGTGCATTGTGTCCTGCGTATGCGTGCCTGCAGGTGTGTGCGTGTATGTGCTGCTGGGAGTACATGGGGACACGCGTGTCTGTCTGCTGTGTGCATGTGTGTTTGCCTGGGGGAGGCTGCAGTAAGGGAGGAGCCTGCTAGTTGCAGTGGGGGAGGTCTAGGTTGGATATTAAGAAAAACTGTTTCCTTGGGAGGGTGGGGAAGCGCTGGGATGGGTTCCCTGGGCGGGGGAGGGGGTGGAATCTCCACCCCTAGAGGTTTTTAAGTCTCGGCTTGACCAAGTCCTGGCTGGGCTGATTGAGTTGGGGTTGGTCCTGCCTTGGGCAGGGGGCTGGACTTGATGCCTCCTGAGGTCTCTTCCAGCCCTGGGATTCTAG